AGCCCGGTCTGCTAGGCTCGGTACAGCCCGGCACGGCACGGCATCGGCTGGCACGGTATGGGGCTGGCACGGCACAGTTTGGGGCTGGCACAGTCTGACTGGCTCAGTATAGCCCAGCATGGCAGGGTCTGGCACAGCATGGCATGGCACAGGGCTGGCACGGCACGGCACAGCACCGCCTGGGGCTGGCACAGTCTGCTTGGCTCGTACAGCCCAGCATGGCAAGGCATGGCACGGCACGGTGTGGCATGGCTCAGAGCTGGCACGGCACGGTGTGGCATGGCTCAGAGCTGGCACGGCACAGCATGGCACAGCTTGGGGCTGGCACAGTCTGCCTGGCTCGGTACAGCCCAGCATAGCACAAGCTGGGGCTGGCACAGCAGGGCACAGGGTGGGAACGGCCCCCTTGGCTTGGTGTGGTGCAGCCCAGGTCTGTCCCGCTGCTGGCACGGCACAGCACGGTCCATATGGCCTAGCACAACCTAGCACTGCCCAGTACGGTCCAGCCTGGCATGGCACAGCTTGGCATGGCATGGTCCAGCACAGCACAGCCTGGTGTGGCATGGTACAGCATGGCCTGGCCTGGTTTAGCGTGGCATGGCACGGCCTGGCCAGGTACAGCGCGCTCCTGCCGTATGTTGTGGCATGGCAAAGCCCGGCCCAGCTCAGTTTGGCACAGCATGGCACAGTGTGGGAGGGCAGCGAGGTGGAAAGTGCCAGGGGACCCTCTGTGCCCCCATCCCAGCCACGCCCATGGCAGCGTGACAGAGGGGTCCCGGCAGCACCGTCCCAGCGCAGGGACGCTCCCACCACCACCACTGCCCTTCGGCCCCGAGGAAAAGCCACACAAGGGGACGCTTTCTGCGGGAACAAGGGGACTCTGTGAAAAAGCCCTCGGTGCCACCCGGCTCCACTGTCCCAGGGTCACCCACCCTGTCACGCGGCTGCTGGCACCCCAGTGACACCGCGCTCTCCTGCCTCACTGGGGCTTTGTTCAGGGCTGCAGGGGACAAGTCGTGCTGGAGATGGGCACAGGAGCCTGGTTTCAGCGAGACCCACATGCACATGCACACACATGCTGCCAAAATCCTCAAATAACCCCCAACCTTGGAGCGGCTGCTTGAGATTCACCCAGTTACAGGCAAGGGATCAAAAAATTGCTGTGAAGTTTGCAAAAAAAAAAAAAAAAAAGCCCCAAACCCCAAAACCCCAAGACATCTCTTTTGCTTACCTTGCATTTCTTGCTGGGTTGAGGCACACAGCGCAGCCAGGGCAGGGTTTGGCTGAGTCCCGGCAGGCGCTCTGGCAGAAAAAGGGGATGTTTTAGTTGCTTTCTCTTTTGCTTTTGGTAAAAGTGAGGCATGCAATCACACCTCACCCTCTGCCCTGCCTGGGAACAGCCGCCTTGGCAAGCTTTTATCAGAAGAGGAAACGCTGGGTGCAGGGAGCGACACTGAGCACCAGGACTGCTGTTGAACCGGGGGGCACCCACCCTGGGGTGCTGGGGGACTGGGCAGCCAGGAAGGGCAGTGGAGCCCCAGATCCGGCGTGGGACACCCCGGGGGTGGCTGATGCTGGGGTGGCTGCTGGCGGCGCTGGCGGCGCTGGCGCGGGGCGGTAAGTGCTCCTGTAGTGCCGGGAGATGAGAGATAACTTCAGAAAACTTTCAATGAATGATTCGGGGGCGATAAGGGCTGCAGAGCTGCCGCTGCGATGGAGATGCTCACCCAAAACCACAGGGTGAATCCCTGCCGGTGGTGGGCAGGAGCTGGGGCGAGCTGGGGAGGGGGGAAACAGTGGGGTTTTTGGGTGAGAATCCCCAATGCGGCTGCTCCCATCCCGTGGGCAAGCAACGTGGTGATCAGGCAATGGCTACAACCGCTGCTCCATCCCGGCCTTGCCCGACCTGCCAGGGTTTGGGTTGGGGGAGCCCCCAGCCACTGCCCTCTCCCGCAGGCACCGCTCCGGACTCCAGCTTGTCCTGCTGGAAACAATGCAACTCCCGCCAGTTCCTCTGCTCTTGGCTGCCCCACAGCCCCGCCAGCAACACCACCTACCTCCTGACGCTCTGGTGAGTCGGGCACCGCGTCCTGGGGAGCCCATGGGATGTGTCCCCACATTGGGGACGTGTGCCCGCCCCATCCCAAGCCCACCCAGAGGCTGAGCATCCAGATCCAACCTTGTGCAACCCCCCACCAGCTACTCGGTGCCCAGGCTGTGCCAGCGGTTCCAGGCAGGCACGGGGACGACGTACATGCTGAAGCATCGCCACGTTTACGTCCTCACCAATGCCACTGTCTGGGTGGAGGCACGCTGGGGGGACCACATCCACAGGACCCCCAACCTCACGCTGTATCTCAACGAGGCCGGTAAGCGCCCGCGGGGCCGGGCTGGGTGCCAGCACCGACTGGTGCCGATAACCACGAGACCACTTTGTCTTTACAGTCAAGCTTGATCGACCCGACAACAAGATGCGCTTAAACAAGACTGGTGGCCAGCTGCGGCTGCAGGTGCCCCAGCCACTGTGTCACCGTGGGGGCCAGCCGCCGCAGTGGGAGGCTCGCTTCCAGAGGACAGGTGACCATGGCTGGACGCAGGTAAAAAAAGTTGTGTGCTGGAGTCGGCAGCGACCCAGCGGGACAGTCAGTAGCTTTGTGGCAGTCTAGGGTAGCCTCAGGAGTGCAGGGCCTTGGTGATGCCACTGTCCCCCCTCAAACCCGTCCGCGTCCCATCTGTTCCGTGGCGTCATCAGCTCTGCCCCGTCCTCCTGGCCACAGGATCCTGCTGCTGCCCGTAATAGGATCAGGCCGTGATTCGCAGGGATTACACAGGCAAAACCCCAGATTAGATTAATGACAATGATGGATGAAATCTGGCTGTTCGTCCCCAGTGAAACCCCCCACATCTGGGGACCTCCCACCCCTCTCAACTGCCACCAGGAGGGACCCAGGGCCAAAGCCATGGTACCCTGGCCAAGAGGACCCTCCTGGCTACCATGTCCCCTGCACCCCATTTGGCTCTCCCAGCCCCTGGGATGTTTGGGGGACACAGGGCAGCATCTGCTTTCATGTCCCGGTAACATACTGGTTTTACTGGGTGGGTGCCTCTGCCCCTGGTTCTCTCCGCAGGTGACATGCGAGACGGTGATGGACAACGACGTCTCAGGTCAGTTTAGCCCACAGGGACGCAGGAGATGAGCATCTCTTGGGGGGGGGGCTCCCAGGTCCTGCCAGGGGGGTCTGCCCCACCATCCCCTCTGGTCCCCCAGCACCCTGTGATAGCCAAAAGATGGGGAAAAATGGGGGTGTCACCCCTGCCTGACCCTGCCACTCTGCTCTAGTGACCTGCGCCCTGGGCAGGAACGGCACCTTCGAGGTCCAGCTCCGGCACAAGCTCCCCCACTGGAGCAGCTCCTGGAGTGACTGGAGCAGCTCCATCTTCATTCCTGAGGGTGAGGAAGAAGAGAGCAAGCAGGTGGGATCCTAACAGCTCCTGAAAATGCCGATAGCCCAGCCGGGCTCATTCCTCTTGCAGAAATTCTGGCGAGCCCGGCGCTGAGCTACCAGCTGGGAAAACTGGGGAGAGATGGGCAGCGGGTTCTGAGGCTGGGCTGGCAGGTATGGCAGCACCCCCCGGGGACCCTCCTAGGTGTCTCCCCCATCATTTCACCCTCTGAGCCACCCCCTTCCTCCCCCAGCGAGCCCCTGAGGAGCAGGGGAACGTCACCTACACGCTGCGCACCCACCTGCTGGCGTGCCCCTGTGCTGAGCTGGCTGAGGTGGAGCTGGGGGGGGAGGTGACAGCGCACAACCTCACCCTCTCCGGGGCAGAGTACGAAATCCTGCTGGTGGCGGCCAACGCTGCTGGGAAGGGGCCAGCACAGCAGCTCCATGTGCCGGCAGATCAGCACGCAGGTACCGGCCCCTCGGGAGGACCAAGCTCCCCGGCAGCCTTGAGGGGGTTATCTTCCCAGCCTTCCCTGCGCTGGCTTTGCCTACTGCTTCGAGCAGCAGCTGCTGCTGGGAGCCCTAAATGAGGGCACTTGCAAGCAACACAATTTCCCTGCCAAGAGCATCCACATGGAGAGAGGCAAGGGAGACACCCCCCCCAAGCCCCCCATCCGTCCCCCCTGCCTGGGGCCAGATCCTGGGGAGGTTTAACCAGCATCCCCGGTTCCTGCCCCAGGAACACTGGAAGCGCCGGTGTGTTACCGCCTCGCTGTGCATGGCCAGGCCCCGGCAAGGGGTTGGTCAACCTTCGCCCTACAGCACCACTACGCTGGCAACGGTACGTATGGAAACACGGAGCACCCGCGCCTGATCTAACTACAAAAAGTGTGTGTGTGTGTCCCAAAACAGTCCCCCATTTATTTTTTTTGCACCTCCACCTCACCATCGCACGCAGCCTCTCTGGCCGTGCCCATCCGCATCAATGCCAGCGCCAAGGACGCCACCGCCGCCGTCCTCTGGTGGAGCCCGTCCCCCCGTGCCGCCTGTCCTGGGGTGCTGGCCAAGTACCTCATCTGCCACATGGCCGAGGGCGACAACATGACCTGTGAGTGGGGACCCCCCTGTCCCCATGGGACAGGAGGAGGGCACTGCCTGCAACCTGCTACTGCCTGCTTGTTATCGTTTGCCCAGATGGCGAAGCGGATGCAGCGGCATCGCACTACACCCTCCAAAACCTACGGCCCGGCACAGCGTACAGGGTGGGCGTTTGGGAGGTGACGGCGGAGAGTGGGGGGACCTGCAGTGCTTGGTGGCGCTTCCAGACCAAGGCGCGGGGTAATAGCTAGAGACCCTCGTCCCCTTCCCCGCTCCCTGTGGGGGGCTCACCCTCACCCCGAAATGGCTCCTGCGTCCCATGCAGGGTGCTGGGGACAGAAATGCCACCATCCAGCTGTGCCCGTTTGCAGGTCCCCAGGGAGCGGCGTGGAAATCCAAGCTGAAGTACCTGGGCATCTTGCTCAGCCTCCCCATCGTGGCTGCCGTCTACCAGCTGAGCAAAAAGAGGTGATGGTGGCACCCTCGCCTCCCCCGTCCCACCTCCCCCATCACTCACCCCCTCACCAGCCACCCCCTCCCCAGGGCTCGCCGTCTCCTCTTCCCACCCCTGCCCAAGCCCATGGGCAGCAAAGCCATCCAGTTTGCCGCTGGCGAAATGAGCCAGGTGAGATGCAAGGTGCAGGAGGGGCCAGATCCTGCACCCCAGCAGGCCGCTGTGCACAGCCCCTGGCATGGGACATTGCCCCCCCCCAACCACATCCAACCCTTAGGGCCAGCCCCGGCCAGGCTTTGTGGAACCCTCAGAAAATTTCAGCTTGGCCGAGCTGCTGCTAATGGAGCTGAATCCTGGTAAGGAGACGACTGATGCCAGCACACAGCCCAGCACGCTGCACCCCAGCCCTGTGGCCAAAGAATCAGCGGAGGCGTGCCCGCCGGACTGCAAGAAGGAGCTGCCGTTCGCATACCGGAGGCAGGAGGTGCTGAGCCCGGCTGGATTTCCACTGCCTGGCAGCACCAGCCACTTGGATGGCGAGGAGGAAGAGGAGGAGGAGGAGAGGCAGGGGCTGCACCAGCTGCTGGTCCCCTTTGCCCTGCTCATCTCTGACAAACCCGTCATCATCAGGGACAAGGAAGGATGGGACCCATTGCCAGAGAAGTTGGTGCTGTAGCCATCACCAGGCTGGGGTAGCAGGGACGGGCGACTGGAGGGAGACGAGGGGGGGGTCCCGTGGGGTGCTGAGCACCCACCTCATGGGCTTGTGACCACACCAGCACTTTCAGGGGGGTTTCTTGGTTTCCAGGCCATGGAAGGCAACACCACCAAATGCAGCGTTGTATGGGGCCAGGATCTGGCCACGCACTTCCCAGCCTCCACCTTTCATGGGCGATAAGTAACGAGGGGAAGCAGTTGCAGAGTCCGGCAGGGGCTGAGGGTGTTTCCTTGGCCACATCAGGAGGAGAGGCAGAGCTTCATCCCGGCCAGCTGCCAGCATCGCCCTGACCCCCGCGGGGTGGGGGCACAAACAGCCCCAGCACCAAACACCAGCTACTTCCCAAAAATTCAAAATATGCAAAAAAATAAAATATGCAAAAAAAATATGCAAAACCATGCAAAAAAAGTAAAAATAAATGCAAAAATGAAAAAAATTAAAATGGATGAAGCAGCAGGGCTGAGATGGCTTCCCTCGCCTGACCACAGCAAGGATTTGGAGTTGAGGGCAAGCCCCGGTGCTGCAGAGGATGCAGCAGGGCCGGGACTGGGGGTGACCTGAACCAGGCAGGGCCCCCCCAACACCCCCAGTCCGGGGCTGCGCGGCTGCCTGGGGCCTTATCTGGGGCAGAACTGGAGGAGGTGTTGCTGAAGACGAAAAGGGGTTTGCAGGTTTTGCCTGCCCTGCATGCAGGGGCCGGAGGTGTCGGCGTTTACTTGCTGAGCATGCAAAAAATAAAAAGGGGGAAAAAAAAAGAAAAATAAAAAAATGGGGTTAGTAGCACGGGGAAGTCCGGGGAAAAGCAGCGCCGCGGTGCCTCTGCCGCAGCTGCTGGCGTACGGCTCAGCCTCCTCGCTGCTGCTTTTAGACCCGGCTTCATTTTGCAAGGGATTTCACCAAAATTACCCTCACAGCACTGGCACGTGTGGGCGGAAACGGTGCTGATGCTGGCTGGAGATAACACACCGGGGAGTGCGGCCAGGGTGGCACATCACTGTGTTTCGGCACGTTCTCCTGTGCAACCTCCACTGGCCATGTGTGGGTTGGGATTTATGGCTCTTCCCGGCGCTCCAGAGATGTGGATGGCCGTGATGGCATCATTCCCATGGCTGGGGGTCCCGGAGGGCTGCATGCATGCAGGACCCCCTGCCACCGTGCCCATGGTTGTCCAGCACCGCACATCCAGGGCATCCCAGCTGCCGGTGGAGCCACGAGGTGGCACCAGCCCCTCATCCCCACGGTGCTTCCCCACCTCCTGACAGAACAAATCCATCTTTCCCTCCCCGCCACACACCACCCCACGGGCCCCCGCCTTGCTGGCAGCCCCCATCCTTGCTCTCCAGCATCCTGGATCCCTGGGGATGGGCTGGAGGCCAGGAAGCTGGCGTCTTCCCAGCCCCAGAAACCCAGCTGGAGAGATCAGATTGAGGGATTTTATTGGGATTTGGGCGATGCCAGGCTCGCTGGAGCGCACCAGGCCAGCCACGTGCGGAGGAAGTATTCAGTTACCGGCTCGGCGCGAGCGTGCGCTCGGGTTGCAGCCCCAGCCCCTGTTTACAGTCCATTTTTGGGGCCGGGGCAGCAAAGGAAGCAGTGCCGGGGTCACGGCTCGGCATGGTTGGGTGGCGGTGGTAAACACATTGCCTGGCTTGGGGCCAGCACCGCCATCGGTTAATCATTCCTGTTTGTGGAACAAGTTCATGCCAGGACAGCCAGAACAGACGGCTGCATTAAAAACACCCCGGGGAGGGGGGAACAGGAGACACCTCCCTCCCCTCCATCACCCCCATGGGGGTCACCCTCCGGGGATCCATCCCACCCACAGCACTGCTCACATCCTCCCCAACCTCTTCAGGGACAGCCCCGTCCCCACCAACAGCCCCGCACATCCTTTCCCACACGTGTCCTGAGTTGGCCGGTGCTCTGCCAGGACCACAGTGCCGCGCAGAGCTGACAGACAACGTGCTGGAGAAAGCTAATTAAGCCAGCCTTGCCAATTAGTGCAAGTGAGCGGCTCAGGACTTTCTAATTAGTTTAAATTTCACAGGACTGTTTTCCAAATGATTCTCTGGGAGCCACTCTCAGCCTCAGTGACTCAAGGACGGCCGCCGGGCCGGCTTTTGCAGCCAGGATGTGACCTTCCCTGCTCCTCCGTCTGGATTCGACCCTGTGTAGGACCCAGACGCGCTGCAGGGCATTGGTTACACCTGGTGAGAGCTGCTGCCACCCGCATGAGAACAGGCAACTCGTTACACCAAACGAGGAACTCCTCCTAAGCAGCAAAAAGCCACTGCGACGGGGAAAACAAAGCTCAGCTCAGCCCAGCGTGGGTGGACGGGGGGAGCGTGGGTGGACCAGCATCAGCCCCAAAGGCACCCTGAGCAATGGGTGCTCCCCGGCTTTGGGGTCCTCCCCGGGAGAGCAGAGTGGCCTCAGCCACTCCCACACACGCACCCCAACACCTTTACGAGCAGCTAATTTAAGACCCGCTGCCTTTTATTTTTAGAGGAGGACATCTGATTACGTCCTGCAATGCCTTTTTATATTGCCTGATACACTGACTATTTCTGTATGGCTGTTTACACCCGCCAGTGCCACCGCTGCCTGCATGCTGTGGGTGAAGGTGCCGTTGGCTGAGGCGAGCACGGAGCATCCCCACCCTAAATGGGAAAAACCTCCCCCTCCTCCCTCCCTATTGTGGTGATGTGTCCCCAAAATGGCACCGGGGACACGCAGGGGTGGATTGACCCCATGCTGCCTTCACTTGCTCTTGCAAAGTGGAAAAATTCAGCACTGCATCCCAATAAAGCTTTTGGGGCCACCAGCTGGAACTGTGGGAAGATGCTCAGAGCCTGGGGATTTGCTTTGGGCTCCCTGATTTTGGGGGATGCAAGCTCAGGCTGGCACGGGGGGAAAAACCATAAAGCAGCCAGAGGGGCTTGCTACAGCCCCATACACATCAGCTCCTGGGGGGTCTGTGCCCCTGGGGAAGGCAAGGTCCATCCCTGCGGGTCCAGGCTGGGATTTTGTTCCCAGACAGAGGAGTCCAACCTGTTTCCCAGCCTGGGGGAAACCCAGCCCCGCAGAGCAACAGCCTGGTTTGAGCACAGGCAGCGGGCAAGGCTGCAAGCCCTTCCCTTGTCCATCCTTCTTGCAGCCCCTTTCCAGCACCCACCCTGCACCCAGCCCAGAGAGGAGCCGATGCCAGCAAGGGGTCTGAGCCCAGCCCAGCCACGAGCCGTGGCAGGGATGAGGATTATTTGCCAGGCAAAAAGCCACCACTGCCACCACCTACCCAATGCCACCCGCTCCAGGGGGGGGATCGATCAGGCGACTGTGCAGGACCTGCCTTGACTTAATCTCTAAGCAAACAAACCGATCCCTAGGATGGGTTTTTTTATTATTCTTTTTAAGCAGAATTCAAGGGCTGCATCTCACTCAAGGGCAGGCAGCTCATTCCCCGCCCCAGCATTGCAAAACCCCAGCGGCCAGGATGCTTGGCAGATCCTTGGGGTAGAAAAACCTCCCTTGCAGCTGGGGAATTTTTGCTTTTCCTCCCCAAGAAAAGCTTTTGGGGCAGATGGCCGCTGGCCACAGCTGGGCTCAGCTTGTTTTGAAAGTCATGGGTATCTGAGCGCCGGCATTTCGCAACCATATGGGTGTCACAACAACAACAACTGCAGTTTTACTTTGCAAACAGGGCCCGCGGCCGCCCAGCACCCCCAGCTCTTTCCTGCTCCTGTCAGGCTGAGCTCGCCTGCTGCAATGGCTTCACCTGGGCAAGCGTCATTTCCAAACCCAAGAATGGAAAATTACTTGAAGCAACATCAAAATTGAATATTTAAGGGGTGTTTTCCCCCCTACTGAGAGGGGCTTGGAGCTGCCCCATCCCCTGTGGGGCTTTGCTTGGTGCTCAGACCACTACAAAATCCCCCCGGATGCTACACGCCCCAGCACGCGAGCCCAGAGGAGCCGTTAGAAGCCACCTTCTCCCTCCACCGCAGGAGAAATGCACGGGTGATGGCAGGAAATATTTTCTTTCTGCAGTTTTAATGTTTTTGGATGGCTGCTCTCGGCACTGGCAGCCCCAGGGGCAGCTCAGCCTTTGGCACGGCCAAAGCTTTCCAGGCTTTGGCAGCAGCCCGGCACGACAAAGCCACAACAACTGATTCCCCCCCCTCCCCAAAACCTTATAATAATAATAAAAGAAATCATAAAACAAGGGCATTGGGAGCCAGGCGGCCACCTCACTGTGCTTCCCTGGCTATCAGTTGATCTGCAAGGAAAGGACTCGGTGTCCTTATCAGCACACGCATTCCCCTGCCCGCTTGGCAGCCGAGCCATCCAGAGGTTTGTGGCATAAACATATTTTGCTCAAGCAGGCAGCTGGGGTTGAACTAAGGATAGCTGGCTCGGCAGGAGCCAGAGAGCCCCATTT